ACATCTCAAAAATGGTGTGGGTTGGAGAGCTCTGAGGGCAAACTAGTCCACTCTAATGATGATCTCTAAGCAACACACTTTTTTAAAAACTAGAACACACCAGTCTGTAGAAAAATGTAGAAAGCCCTAACAACATCTCAAAAATGGTGTGGGTTGGAAAGCTCTGGGGGCAAACTAGTCCACTCTAATGATGATCTCATCTGGTCACTGGAAGAAACAGTGAACCCATCAGCCTCCTGCAATGCATCAAACAGTAGGACAAATGCCTGTCTGAATGTGCCCACTGTTGTATAGTTCATCAGTTATATGGTACTGGGAGCTACTCAGAACTAGGAACTGCTCTGTTTCTCTACTCACTCTAATATACATTCTATATTCCCTGGTAGGTGGGGCTCATCAGCCTTGGAAGGCAGCCCATCTAGGAGAAGGAAAACTCCAATTTCAAACCTCCACTGCCTTGTGGCTATATCCACCGATGGAAAAGACTTCAGGAGTTAACCTCGAAGCAAAATCCACAGCTGGAGTCCCGGAGTCACACTCTGGCAACTCCTGCAACGTTGCTGGAACCAGTTTTATTGGCTCTTGCCTTTCCACTGGACTACTTCAGTGACATGGAGAGGGGGGATCTTCTGCTTGCGTAACAGTCTATCCTCCATATTATTCTACCCAGGCTTTGTGCTCTGGAGAGGATACTCAAGCTTCGCATACAGTGTCGAAACAATGCGGGAAGTAGCATTTACTGGTTATAAGTCTCTGTTCATTGGTGTAGAGTGTGACGCCAGGGGCTACTTCCGATGGTGGGAGAGGTCACTGCACCTCACTAGGTAGCTCCCACCAGCCTGGGCAGTCCCCAGCCAGTAAGGTGCTGCATCACCACAGCCTGTTAACCTCATGGGGTGCATGGGTTTTAGGATGAAAGCTAAGCAGATCGATAACCCTGCACCATGCAACAATCATAAGAAAACTTCTGCCCTAAAGTTGGGCACCTGGAACGTTCGGACAATGACCCCTGGCTTTTCTGATGACCTGCAGGAAACAGACGACATGTGCAAGACAGCCGTTATTGACATGGAACAGAGCAGGCTGCAGATGGACATTGTTGCCCTGCAAGAGACGAGATTGCTACACATGGGATCTGTCAAAGAAAAAAAAATCTCATTCTTCTGGCAGGGAAAACCATTGAATGAGACCAGGGAATATGGTGTTGGCTTTACGGTTAGAAATACTCAGCTGAGATCCATTGTTCCACCTACTGTTGGGAGTGAAAGAATCCTGTGTCTGCAGCTCCACTCATCAGAAGGACTGGTCACCCTCATTAGTGCATATGCACCAACACTGTCATCCACAACATAAGTCAAAGACAAATTCTTCAATGATCTGGCAACTACTATCAAGAAAATCCTGGAGAGAGAGCCGCTATTCATTAAACTTTAATGCTAGAATTGGTGCTGATCACAATTCTTGGCCCACTTGTCTAGGCCGTTTTGGCATTGGGAACATGAAGAAAAATGGCCAACACTTGCTGGAGTTTTGCTGTTATTATGGTCTTTGTGTCAGCAACACGTTCTTTAATACGAAGCTTCAACAGAGTTTCCTGGAGACATCCAAGATCCAAGCATTGGCATCAGCTCGATCTGATCTTCATTAGATGTTCTAGCCTTCCTGGTATTACGATCACACACAGCTATCAGAGTGCTGATTGCAATACTGATCACTCCCTGGTGTGTAGCAGAGTAAAACTGGGAATAAAGAGATTGTATCACATGAAAAAGGAAGACCACGTATTGACATCAGCAAGACTCGCAATCAGAGAAAAGCAGAAGAATTTTCTCAAGCGCTGATGCCTCCTTGTCCACATTTGGCAAGAAGATCAAAAAGACAACAGACAGGTTTGAAGCCCATTCAGAGGAGCTGATGCCAGCCACTGAGAAAAAGAGGAGAGCTCTAGCAGCATGTCCTAGTGAGGGATATAAATCAAATAAATAAATAAATAAATAATAAATATAATCTAGACAGAATGTTGTAACTGAAGAGGCATTAAATAACATTGAGTGCCTGCCTGTTTTGGAAGAATTGGACAGTGAACCAACTTTAGCAGAAATAAAGGCGGCCTTGGATTCCCTCACCTCCAGCAAGGCACCTGGGAAGGATACCATCCCTGCTGAAGTGCTCTAAAGTGACCATCACCACTGAGCTGTATGAAATCTTTTGTCTTCGCTGGAAGAAAGCTGGAGTACCACAGGACATGAAGGATGCAAACATTGTCACATTGTACAAGAACTGGACGGCAGATGCAACTGCAATAACTACCATGGCATCTCTCTTCTCAGCGTTGTAGGGAAGCTGCTTGCCCATGTTGTGATGAAGAGGCTCCAGGTGCTTGCAGACAGAGTCTATCCCGAATCACAGTGTGGATATTGAGCTAACAGATCAACCATTGACATGGTATTTTCCCTTGGACAGTTGCAGGAGAAATGTAGGGAACAACAACAACCACTCTTTGTGGCCTTCATATATCTTACAAAGGCCTTTGATTTGGTTAGCAGGGGTGGCCTTTTAAAAATATATCTTTTGTCCCAAGCCATGACCTCACCATGAGAAAACCAAATATATGACAGATTGTTTCTCTTGAATGACATGGAAACGTCACTCTCCCACATAGGACAGGCAGACCTTCTGAGAGCTCACCCTTTTCTGGGTTAGGAAATAAAGTGGTGACACCTAAAAAATTAGTTGTTGTAAAGCTATTTATCAGCTTTATGGGGTGTCTTTCTGGACACTCTGTCCTGAAACAACAGCAATCCCAAGATCTCAGTTAATCAGCCGCTTATCTTGCTGGAGTCAGCAGAGAAAGCTGAAGGCAGAAGCTGATATTTCACTTGGTGAAAGGATGACTAAAGAGGCTTCTTTGCATTTTTAAAATACTTTAATCTTTAAAAAAGATTGCTGCAATGGGTTTTTGTTTACTGAAAAATGAGTTTAAAAAAACCTCAATTTAAAAAAAAACTGTTAAAGTAGCCTTACATCCTCTACTAATCAAAGTTTATTTATTTATTTAAAAATTAGGAGGCTAAAACAAAAATTGCCCATCCATGTCCCCTGGACAGCATAAGGGAACTTTCTAGCCCCTTGCCCAAATGTTTTTGTTACAATAATTTTTTAACATGTGGGTGCACTTGGGGGCAGCAGTCATAAGTATATGGGGGGGGGAGTTTACAAAAATGCCTTGGGTGCTTTGCATTTGGTTCTTTTCTTCTAGATTCCTGGAAGGTTCAACACTCCATGTGCCGGCTTAAGGTATAACACAAAATGAACAAAACGACACAAAATAGAACACACAAATAAAGAGCATAGCTTTCCACATGTTTTTCTTCAGAGAACCCTTTAGCTAATATTTTGTGAGGAGCCACTTATTTCTTATTACCATGTATGTTATGGAATATTGTTTGAACATTTTCTCAAGTACCCATTTAGTTAGTGTGATCCTAAAATATTTCCAGTCCTCTTCTACAGATGAATATAGCAGCCAATTTTTCTTTTTTAAAAAACTTAATGATCATTACTTGTCTGCTCTTTGAAGAACTGCTGATAAACCTTTTAAGGGCCCTCAAATACAGATTGAAAGCTACAAGCATAAGGGCTAGAATTCTACTGATGTTCTTGTAAGGTTTATGTAACTTTCAACAGCTAACTGGGGTTAACTGGCAAATGTGAGGACATGTCTTAGTCACTTTCCTGCCCACGTGCCCAACCACTTAACCAAGAACTGCCATGGTACCATGTCAATTAGCCACAGTTGGTTACAGCAAATTACACAAAATGGGATTCCAGTCACTGGCTGGGATAATACTGACATTCAGTTTGTCCAACAGAGTTCTCCTGACCAATGAAGTCTGCATAATGAGCTGGAGACAGCAAGTGATTAAGAGTGGCATAGTAATGGTGGAATTCTCTCACCTTGGGCCCTTATAACAGCCTGTGTTCCATCCATGTGCTGCATGTTCACCTAAAATTCCCACAACAAATACATCAAGAATACTTTGGGACCTTGGCTTGACGATGCTTCCAGAGACAAACACTTATAATTATGTTACCTGTTTTTTATATACTGGCTATGAGTAATACTACCAAGAGTACACACAACAACTACTTTTACTGCCTAAAATTGTTACATTGTTGTTCTGCAGCTTTAGTTTGGAAGAATCTGGGGACTTTGACAGAAGCAGTAGGAGGCAACCATTCAAAGTTCCATCGCGTTATACTGGTTGGTTGTTTTTTTAAAAAACATGACTCACTAGAAAAATTAAGTACAGATGTTGCTGGGGTTGTGGCAAAAGGACAGTGCTACTGAATGGTGCTCTTAAATACACAGCTCATATCTGAAAGATGTACAAATGGAATGGGCAAGCCAAAGTCTTTTCTAGTCTAGCATCCTGTTTCCAGCATCCCAAACAGCTGCTGAGGGGAAGCACAGAAGAAAGGCATGAGGGCAAGAGCTTCTTCTTGCTGCTTTCCAGAAGCATACTGCTTTTCCTGGAAATTATGTAATTGCTAGCTATACCACTGGTGGCCATTCATTGCTGCATTTTCCACAAATCTGTCTATTCCTCTTTTAAAGGTGGTCAGATTGCTCTAGCATTGGCTCAGCTCAAGAACTCCTCAGCTGCATGCATCTGACTCCTGCACAAACTTCTACCAGATTTATGATGCTGCATAATGGTCCAAGGGATGGCCTATTGGACAACATGCCTCTGCATATCAACCTTTTATCTGGCTTATTATAATCACTGCACCAATTATGGTGGCTTTTTTTCCTCCGCTGCCAACATTTGGTTGTAACGTAAGTGATGCAGTGATCAAAGGGAACATCACCAACAAATCAAAGCCCGGTTCTCCCAAAGAGCAGATTAGTTCAGAGGCAGAGGAGAAAACTACAAAAGAAGCAGCAGGAAAGAGAATTAAGGAAAAAGGAGAAGCACTCTGTAAAACCCGCAACGTACTATTCCCGTTCCTCCTGCTCCTGCTGCCAACGCCGCTGCCTGAGGACAAAAGAAAAATAATGAAGAAAATAAAATGAAGGGAGAGGCAGAAACAAACTGGACATTTCAACAAAGTGCCTGGATCCTCCTCACCCACTGGTTGGCATTTCCTGGGAAGGAAACTTTTCACCAAATCTGACCAAGAAGGAAAATAAACCTGGAAGATGCTTAAGAAATGTTCTATTTTCTCATTTGAAGATTTTCCTGATCAGTCTGGTATCCATTCTACACTCCTGTCCACAGTTTGAGAAAGTTACTTTTTTGGTCTACTGAGAAGTGCCATGCTGGATGGGCATTCCGGGAGTTGTAGTCAAAAAAGATAACTTTCTCAGACAAACTTGAATGTTAAGCTACTGCCGTTCCCCTCCCATTGTAGAGAGATTGTATCCTTCTTGCAGCCAAAGCCCTCTTCACATCCAGTATGTCGATGACAGCTGTGCAGATGAAACACAGAACTGTAAAATCATACCAACTCATATTCTGTAATTGTTTCTTCAGTAACACTGATGTCCCTAAAAGAAATGATGAGGTATATATATATGTATATTTGCATCTTGTCACATTTGTTTGCAGCATTTGTTCTGGGAAACTCTCATGTGTTGTTTTATTTATATCTTTTCAAAAATTCTGTTCTGTTACTTCGTTGCTAAACAAAATTATACCATGCACCATGCATATAACATTATAACAGTTATAGTATAGCCACCATAACATTAAATAGAAGCATTGAAAATATAAAAACAGCAAATGTATCAAGCACACAATCAATCTAAAAATCAGTTTAGATGGCTTTAAATTTAAAACTACCACCTCCCCTCCAATTTGGGTAAATAGGGATATTTCAATCAGCATGAAAAGATACAGTTTGTGCCAATTCTGTTTCCCTCGGGAAGCCATTGCAAATTGTGGGTTTCACTGTAAATAAGTCTTCCTCCTTCATACATGCACAGTCCACTTTTCCCAACAACAGTAATGTCTCTTTGTGTCTGCAGAAGGTATGGAGAAGTAGCAGCCGAGAGGACATCATTGAATCCCAACTCCAATGGTAGCCCCAGCCTGCATGGCTAATGGTCAGGTATAATACTAGTTGCAATTCAAGGACTCTGAAGATCACAGTTTCCCTCTCCCCAGGTTCAAAGGCAGCATTTTTGCTGAAGCAAATGAGACCCAACTACTGGCATAGGATGGAAGATAATTGTAGGTTGAGGTACAGCCCAAAGGGGAATATTTATAGCTCAGGGGTAGAATATCCATTTTGCATGCAAAAGATCCAAGGTCCAATTCCTGCTGTCTCTAGGCAGGGCTGGAGGAATGTGTGCCTGAAACTTTGAAGAGCTGCTGGCTAAATGGGTCAGTGATCTGGACTAGTACAATTCAGCTTCCTGTGTGCTCCTATATAATAACTAAAAACTTCACACAGCTCTGTGCACCAGACAGATAATATCTACCAATTTATTCCTTTTTCTAAAGACTATGCCCATAAAACTTGCAAATTTCCAACAACTACTACTTTTCACTTTAATAGAAAGTCTGTTGATTTTCCCATTAAAATGGACAGGTCCCACACCTCTGTTTTAATAGATTTTTTTTAAAAACCCACTGTCTTTCTCTTTGCTACCCTGTTTCCTGGAAAATAAGACCTAATCTGAAAATAAGCTCTAGTATGATTTTTTAGGATGCTCGTAATATAAGCCCTACCCCAAAAATAAGCCCCAGTTAAGTGAAACCCCGCCCTCTACCATTGTGCAGCAACCAGAAGATGACATGACTAGATGTGAATAAATGTAGATTGTTGTATATGAATTTTTGTTGTACATGCATTTTTGGAGCAAAAATTAATATAAGACCCTGTCTTATTTTCGGGGAAACATGGTACTTTGATAAAAAGAACAATAATTAGGAGGTCTACGACACTCTTTTTAATATGACAATCCCCTTACCCTTGGTCTTGATGGATAAAATGGGTTACAAATAGAAAGATTTACTAAGTGGAATCTACTGGTCTGTGAAAAAGAATGGCTCCAAAATCCCCTCACTTCCTAGCTTCTGTCTCTTATTTTTGCATTTGTAGACATTCTTGGTATGACTGGGAGTGAACATTAAACTTCCCCAACCCTGTTCTTTTTCTGGGGTCATACAGCTGGAGATCACAATTCTCCTGCAGAGTGAGGAAGCTAGTTTAGTTATATTCTGAGGGGTTGACTTTAATTTCCATTCACAATCTGTTCTTAGCAGGGCAAGTTGAAATGTGCCAGTTATGTCTAGTCCAGGATAAACTACCACAGACAGACACTCTGAGAACGATCCTTTCCTACTGCCATGCTTCTTTCATTATGATCTGAAAGAAAAAACACCCTTCCCTATGCAAGCTTGGGGACGAGATTATTAAAGAAGCAATATACTGTCATCTTTAAATATTTGAAGGTCTGTCAAGAGAGATGATGGAGCAATTTTTTTTCTCCCTTGCAACATAACAAGGTGTATGTGTGTGTTCTATGCCATCAAGTTGAAGCAAACTTATAGTGACCCTAATAGGGCTTTCAAGGTAAGTGAGATATTAAGGATGAGTGTTTATGGCCAAGTGGGGATTCAAACCCCATTCTCCACAGTCTTAGTCTGTCACTCTGTCCACTACACCACACTGGAAATCCTGGGAGGTAACAGAGTTATTGAAAATAAATCCTTTTTCTTGGAAAATATTTGAAAGAACTTTCCAACTGTCCAAGCTATTTGACAGTAGATCAGATAGCCTTGAAAAAAGTACAGGCTCTCTTTCATCAGAGGTTTTCAAATAGAGGACAGCCAGGCTCTTTCAAGGATGGAGGAGCAGCAGATTTCCTGCATTGGCAGAAGGCTGGACTACATGACCTTTAAGATACTTTCGAACTCTATGATTTGTCTTCAAGATCCAGCTCTGCTCTGTTATCATACTCTTGCAGCAACATATACAAGGGGCCATAATAACAAACACCATTTATTTTCTGTTCTGGGAGACTGTAATTAACAATTCTTTCAGCAAACTCTCCTACACAAGACACCCTGCTGTTCCTGATCTATCCCTCCAATTTTTTTCAGTTTTCTTTTCTGCATAATAAAAATGGTAACATCTATACAAATTTAAGCTGCAGTAGATATGCAAATGTTATTGCTTCTAGGACTAGTGAGGTTTAACTGCTGCTCTTTTGTAAAAGGTTTAACTATGTTTAACATCTGCCATTAAGAAAATTCCCTCATTTTTAGTAATATATTGTTGTGTTTGTACTTGTGCTACCTTGACAACTGATGGTGGGAAGGCAGGCTAGAAGTATATTAAACCACCAGGCAACAAGGGACAAACAAAGAATTATAGTGTAATTCATGTTCCTTCTCAGGATGATATTTTCATCTTCTGTCAGGATACTCCATTCCATCTCCCACTCCTGGTGTTCTGGTTTCCCTCCCTCTGACTGTCAGCCAACATGCCATAATCACTGACCTGCTCAGTCCATATTCAGCTATTTCAGGGGATTTTATTTCTTAGGAAGGTTTCTTTTCCCAAATAATATTTCATAATTCCATAAACTCTGAGGCTCCCCAAAACCTGCTAATCACGAGCAGCCCATATTCTTAGCTGGGGCCTGGGGCTGGTTCATCCTTGCCGCTTCAGGATAAAGTGTGCTCCTAATTGTAGTCTGTTGGTACTGCTAAAACCTCTCTCTTGTCTATGAATGATGCCACTGGACTTCATCAGCATTTAAGTAATGATCTATCTTTTCTCTCTTGCCCCCACAAACCATCAGCTTCTCTTGTAAAGGCCTTGAACCAAAAACAGTAGAGGAATATAGTGTGTCAAGGACTGCAGAGGAATACAGTCTATACAATTGCCCTTTTCATCAAATATCTGGATAACTAGGAATGAAATGTCTAGCAGATGGATTCAGGACCAAGTCATACAAGTATCCTCTGTAAGCCACAAACCCTGCACTACTCTTTTGGTAGTTTATGATGATCTGCACAGAATCAGTCAGGATGGAGCGTCTACTATTTTGCAAAGTTCTGGTAAGTGACATGTGGACTTCATTGTCCAGAATGTCCCAATGAACATGGTCACCTGCCCAAGATGGTTGGTAGATTTTTGGAGCTGTAGCCTAAACAAATTAACTCTTCCCGGTTCTGCTACACTAGGAGAAAAGAAAAATGAAATTCCAGGAGGCATGTTTTTATGTCTTGAGATACAACGTGGGATCCAAAAAGCTAAGATCTCAATGCACTCAAAGGCATTCAATGCAAGCTTCCATAGTATAACTCTTGAAATGACTGTGATACAGCATATGGTATTTAAATTGTGGGATGGGGAGGCAAACATTTTAGGAGGCTTACCCATGTCTTTGGGACAATTACAGGACTTCTTTGGATGCCAGTCAGTCATTAATCCCAAGTACTATGCTGTTGGACATGCAAGAACTATTGTAATAATTTAACTCTGTTTGTTACTTGAGCCAAGAGGATATTTCTTCTTTGTACAGTAAAGAGAGACAGTTTTTACTTGCCTGTCAGCATCAGTCACCAGTGCCAGACGTCCATAATCCCAGGCCACTTTACGTAAAATGGAAAAAACGAACAGCAGTGCCTATGGAAAGGCAAATAAGAAAATGTAAGGCAGTTCCTATGACTGGCTGATGTTCTTCGGCTAATTCCAACTGTTTCTCACCACAAGAGTTGACCCATTGAATAAACAGGACTTGTTATGACAACACTAATTTAAATCCTATTGATTCAGTAGGCCTACTTTAGTTGGGATTGACAATGAGATTGACCCTTCTGCCTGGCCTATGCAAGTATTGCTATACTGCTTCCAATGATATAAAACAAACAGGGAAGCTGTTTTTCTGCACATCAAAACTCAATGTTTTACGACTGGGAAAGCCAAATACTCCAACAACTTTACAGTAAAGTATGAAAATATATGTAAAATACGCACCAGTATCTTTGGCCTGTTATTGATAAACTCTGCAAATTACTTTGAGAAATGCTAGTAGCAATACTCCTTCTACTTAGATTGTGTGGACATTCGGGCAGAATCTAGCGAGTATGATAGACACTTCTGATATCTCAGCTTCTAGTATGGAAAATGAAATATTCAGATCACATAATTTCTAGTACTTGAAAGTGTCCCTGGTATTCATGAAGCAGAATTTCTGCGCATGGTTGGTCAACTGTTCTCTTCAAATTGGCCTATCACATTGCTCTCCCTCTCTCTTCTCGCATCCCTTTTTACAACAATCAATTTACCTTCCATTGTGAATTAAGGGAGAAGGACTCACAGCTAAAAGAACATTACTACTACAGCTGCACAGAAGGCTGCTAGTTCAGTCTCTGTTGCTAGAACACTTTTGAAAGAGGCAATTTGGAATAAAGGAGATATGGGAGTGCATGGGGAGAAAGGTGAGTTCTTACTCCTAGTACTGTTCACTATTCTCACCTTTCAGCTCTCCTGTCCTATTAGCTGCACTCTGCAAGAGCCAGAAAGCTCCTTTGGGTATTGAGCAGCCTGAGAGTGGGTGCTGTCCTGAGATCTGCCTTGGTGCAAGCATCATTAGACTAAAATTGTGCATAGTGGTAACATGTTAGGGATGTGAATTTCACAGCTACTGCTGCTTGACAAGAAACTACAATTTTTTTTTTTTAAAAAAAACCCTCCCTTTCCTTCTCGTACTTAGATCTCTCTGCACAAGATTTTTCTCCAATTTTTTTCCTCCAAATCTTGCAAGATGTTAAAAACAATTTAATGATCATTTCTTTTTTTCTGAAAGATATGCCAAAGTGTGCAAGATTAGAGATGGGAACGAATCGCCATTTTGGTGATTCATCTTGCTTCATGATCCATCAAAGCTGACGAAGCATAAAGCACAGATCTCCTCCTCGTGAACCGATGAATCATAAATCGATTCATCGATTCATGATTCACTGAGATTTCTTGCCAGTGAGAGATTCATCGGTTCAGACAGTTGGAGGCTGTCTGAAAAAAAAAGCTGGGGGGAGGGGAAAGGAGCAGGGGATAGGTTGTGGGTTGGGCAGCTGTGGGGCAGGCAGGCTGCCTATCGGCTCGCTGATCAGCTGATCGGTAGGCCCATAGACAGAATGGGAAGGCCATAGAAAGAGAGAGACTAGCCTCCCCTCTCTTCATATGGGGGATGAATAAAAATGGAAAAATATTCATCCCTTTGTATTCGTCAGGGTCTCTAGAACTCACAAATATGAAGGGATGAATATTTAATGAAGCAGCGATTTCTAACAAATATTATGATTCATTTTTTTATTCGTCCCCATGTCTATTCAAGATTATTACAGTTACCCTACATAGGATTCATTTGGAAAGGGCAGTTGTCCAAGATTACTGCAATTCCTGCACAGGATAGCTTCTTTTCTAAGAAGGACTCAGCAGAAACAGAAATCAGCTGTACACGATTTGGCACTTACTAGTGCAAAACAAGAGGCAACCCTCCCCCCGCCCCAAACACATAGATATATTTTTCATAGGAAGCAAGAAATCTCAGTGATGCAGGGGGAAATCTTGAGAGTAAGTTTGGCATGACAAGACTCAGAAAACTATAATGAGATTTTTGGGAGTACTCTCACATCCCTCTAACAGATAAGATGTAAAAAAAAAAACAAAAGCAAACCAGAAACAGATTTTTAAAAACCCTTTCTACATGAAGCCTTCTGTTAAGTCTCCCAACTTTTGCCATTCATGGTTGGCAGGTAGCAGGGCTGGGATCTCAGAAAGAGGTGCCATGCTGCCAGTGAGAGTTACACAGCTTGAAAAAGTTGCTGTTTTGAAGGGAGGGATACAATAGGCATACTAGCGGGGAAGGGGGGAATTTGGAGAGTTACATTTCAAAACATAGCCTTTCCAAGCACAGCAGGCCTGTTCATACTGACTACTACCTTAGGTTGCCAAAGAGGCGGCTCGAAGGAGCTGCACAGGTCCGTCAGACCTGACAACAAGTCCTGAAACAACCTTTTCACACTCTACACTAATTCCTCATTGGCCATTCTCCTGTTAAATACAGCTGTTGACATGGATTCATGAGCCTGCCTTACGCTCTTTCCAGACCATAGTGGAACAGCAGACCACCAGCTTTCTGCAATGGATTAAGACACAGAAGCGCTATGCTATGTGAAGCTGAAAAGGCCCTGGCCTGTAACATTACCAGAGATGCTAACAGATGTTACTTTTTGTTATTTTATTTATATTTAGTTGCACTTCATAATCTGAAGGCCTATGCCAGGTTGGCAAAAGTGGGCAACATGGGGTTCCCAATACTATTTCTGTGACCCTAATTCTCCACTTTTTCTCAGATTTTTTTTTTGCAGCATTACTTCTGGAAGCTTCTAGGAATCATGATCCATTTTGAAAATAGGCCATAGTCCTATTGCATCATTTAACATCCCCAAATACCAGTTTTCAAAACTGGAAATGGATCTACACCCATGATTAATATTTGTGTTTTTTTCTGGCATTTTAATAGTTCATGCAACCCCCAGAGGGTTTAGAGGGAACAAATTAACTCCTGAATCTTCCAAAATTGGGCACTCTTAGTCTAAGCTGTAACTCACTTAACATGTCCATGAATGCAGTGCTGCTGGCTTTGTTTTGCATGCAGATGATCCCAGATTTAGCCCCTATCAAGCCCCAGTAAACACACTTTAAAAATATATGGGATGGGGCCATCCTGGCTTTCTCTGCATAACAGCTACCCGCTTGACCCAAACCGCCGAAACCAGTACTTACAAGAAAACACATAAAATCAAGGGCAAGGACGGTGGGCACCCCTCCAAAGGGCAAGCCCTGCAGCACAGTGCTGCGGATACGGGCACTGTAGCAGTAATCCTTGGTGCTGTTGCTGCCGCCGCCGCCGCTGCTTATCCCTACTGAGCCCAGGGTGGCGGCGAACACAAAGGGAAACATCTCTATTACTTCATTGTCTTACCTGCAGAAAGAAAAAGAAAAAAAAGAAAACTTGGTGAGGAGCTGAAAGAGGGAAAAGCCAGCCTGCTTGGCACCTTTTCTTGTATATGAAGAGAGTAGACAAGGACCTGGCGGGACCAGTTTGCCACTTTCATCTCCCATGACCCCACCTGTGTTGCAACCTTCTTGTGCTTAGAGGAACTGGCAGCAAGTGCTTGAAAAGCTAGATAGACAAGAAGGTGTCTACTCCTGCACTCTATAAAGCAAGTGCAAAATCATATGGCGGTTGCTCATAGTGGGTGGATTAGTGGCCGTATTGTTCACTGTGAGACAAATGTGAATTTAAGAATGCTTCTTTGTAAGCCATTCCAGTCACTTATCATTTATATGGGCATAAGAATTCCTTGATCAGATCAAGAGGCCCTTCCTGGTTGGCATTCTGTTTCTTCAAAGTGTGCCAAAGTAACTTTTTCAGAGAAGCTGACAATCCCCAGTATCTTAGCACTCAGCACAAGTAAGATCCTGTGGGTTCCAGTTCAAAAATATTAACATTTCGAAACTTTGATTATCCTAAATGGGTTCTGAAAAAAGGTTTTCCCATAGAATCCTATAAAAGAAGGATGATGATGATGATGATGATGATGATGATGATGATGATGATGATGATGATGATGAGTATAATAATCATAATTGTCATCATCTTAGAATTGCAGAGCAAGTCCAGCGCTTGTCAGGGAAGCATACTGGGGAACTGAATTCCCAACCTCTGGCTCTGCAGCCAGATGAATAAACGACAGAGTTGATGGTACCAGCCTCCTCCACTGCTTGCCCCCAATAATGGTCAGCAAAGATAGGCTACTCTGAACATACAGGCTCCTTCTAGCAATCATGTCTAGCAGTTACTGAATATGTTAGTTTCATCACTTTAACATGAGCCCAGAAAAGTTACTGTTTGGGTTACACTTACAACTCACAGAATGTTCAACACTGGAAACAAATCTACAGCAAAACCCCATTGTAAACATAACTCCAAATATATATATGATTCTGACCAGCATGTGGAGTCCTTAAATCAGTTTGAAAACTGAAATCAGTTTGAAAACTGATCTACCCAGCCACAAGGACCGGGGATCACTACACACAAAAGACCAGCTAATGACACCCATCAATCACAGTGACAGATAATCTCTTCTCCTTATCACAACAATACACCCACAGCAAGACACACTAATCACACATCTCCTGAATAGGACAAAATCCTATCTCACAGCCACAAATACTCTACTCCCAAGCAAACTACACCAGAGCACAGAGTGCTGTCCTCTGAAGATGCCAAAGAGACTGACAAAACGTTAGGAAGAACAACCTTCAGAACACGGCCACAGAGCCCGAAAAACCTACAACAACCATTGAAAAGGGTTCTTGGAAAATGAGTTTAGGAAGTTTCAGAAGACTACAAAATATATTTTTCCAGTGGGCTTCTTATCTACTTTAGTCCTAGCTCAAGGCTACAAAGAGTTTCCTATTTCTGGAACTGGCCTCTGCCCTTGAGGCCTAGCTGGAATTGTTCTAAGAAACTCTGGGAACATCAAGTACTATCCAAATGTATTCTGGGTTATATACTTTGTTCTGCTCAATTGATCCTAAGCACGGAGTTGCAGTCTCCCTTTCCTTCTAACGGCAGAGAAAAAGACTGGCAAAGAGGCCAAAGGCAGCAAGGAAACAGAACCAAACAAAAACACCACAATTATATGCCCCCTTTAAACTAGTGGGATGTTGAAGCCTAGTTAACATTAACAATTACAATTAAAATGAGCATGACTTGTTTCAAGAGCTTGGGTAAGTCACTTTTTTGGACTAGAGTTCCCAGAAATACCTGGCCTATAGCCTGAAAAAGTAACCTTCCCAAGTTCTGTCTGTTTCCTCAAAGGCAGGTCTGCCCAGAAGTGAACAGCTACTGCAAACACAGGCCACGATTAAAATGGTGCCCAGCTGAGTGGTGCTACTCAGTTTGCAAAACCTATTGGTATCCCAGCATCAGGGATTAGCAATGAAATCTGCTTTGTTATAAAACCTGCCCTGTCATATCACAGTAGTGGTTGCCCACCCTGGTTCTCTTGCTTTCACAGATTAATTCCTGCTGGCTTGAATGAGGCCCGCTCACATGGATTCAAGCTGGCAGGCGAACGGTAAACAAAACGGCCATGCAGGGTATTGATTGACAAGGCGCACATACAGGGAATCACCACAAGGCTGGAGCTCTGCTGACTTAATAAGAGCCATGAAGGAACTGGGAAGGAAGCCATAAAGTGCATTAAATTCAGTTCAGAGATGTGATGGGAAAGATAAAGGAGCTGCTGCCAGAACTGTGGAGGAATGAAAACACAGAAAGCGAAACAGCAGGCTTGAGTCTTGAGAAAGCCAAGCAAGAACAAAGTCTGCAGAAATGCTTTCGGAAAAATTAATGAGCCCAATGTTGGTATGAACTAGCAAATCGGAGGAACTATGGGTTACTTGGCTGGGAAAAGAGACAGAGTAGACCAGCAGAAATCTGTGGATCTTTTCCACTGCAGAAGGCACTTATGATCAAAAAAGGCAATGAGTACAAGGCTGGGTGAAGACATTTCACAGTCTAAGGAGCAACCTCAAACAGCAACCATGAAATTTCTCCTCATTCAAATCAAAATACAAAGGTAGCCATATTAGTTTGCTATGTGAGGTAGACAATCCCAGAAACATCTCCCTCCATTTCTGGCAAGAAAAATACAATCATATCAAGTTAAATAACTAATTGAATCATAGACAAATTGCTGTCCTTTGACACATCAAAAATCTCCTGACTGAGATGGCTGCCTCATTCTGTCTAATGGTAGCGCCAGCCATGCTGTCAGGTTCAAATTAAAAATGTATGAAAGTAGTATCTTTAACCATACTCCTGAACTGTGTATGGCCTTAAGCACGAGGCAAAGTAAGGCAGCCACAGGCAGAAGATCTTGGACTATATGAGGGTAAGGGCGAGTACTTTTGTGATCAGATCAGTTGGATACAAACCACAGAGATGTTTTGTGGAGCAAGAGTGAACAGTTTGCTAGATATGAATACAGGGGTGGGTAGAAAAAAAACCCTAATTTTTCTACCTTTCCAAGTCTAAGGTTTGAGGCTGGCCATATCCCCCAACCAATTTGTTGTATAGCATATACTACTAAACTTCTCACAGAGATTCCTTACTTGCCTTTTTAATGAACTAACATTCTGGTTTCTAAATGTACATCCATGGAAGGATAAACTACTGAGGCACAAGAAGGCAGCTGGCTTCTTGGATGGTCTGGCCAATTCTTCAGTTGTTCAGATAAGAACTCTGCTGCCACCCTCAGTTTTAAAGTCTCTCAAACACAGTTTAGGAAAGCTACATTTTTTGAATATAGCTCACAGAATACCCCTCATGTTTGACAGGGAATTCTGACAGTTGTAATCAAAAGGTAAATTCCCCAAGATTTGCTCTCAGGTACAGTGGAGTCTCGACTTATGGTCGGCTCCACTTACGTACTTTTTGACCTACGGACTTCTCTAGCCGCAAAATTTAACTTCGACTTGCGGTTGGAGAATCCACCTACGGACCAGAAGGGGGAGGCAGGGAAAGCGCCAAATTCCAATTTGGTGCTTTCCCTGCCTCGCCCTTCCAGTCCGTAGGCTGTAGGTCGTGCCTCCGGATGCCTTGCAGGGCTTCTCTGCCACCATGGGAGGCCTCTTGGATGCCCCCCGCCGCTGATAGTGCCTCCGAAGCACTATCGGCGGCGGCGGGGGACCTTTGAGAGGCCTCCGGCAGCGGCGTCGAAGCCCTCGGAGTCCTCCAACAGCAGCGATGGCGGTGGCCCCTTTGAAGACTTCAAAAAGGTAAGGTGATTTTAAAAAAATTACATTTTTGGGGGGTGTGTGTGGGGGTTTTCTTGGGACAGATACGAATTAAATGGTTTTCAATGCATTCCTATGGGGAATGCATTTTCGACCTATGGACTTTTCGACCTACGGAGTCCGTTCCAATACGGATTAATTCCGTAGGTCGAGACCCCACTGTACAGTACTACATTGCTTCCAGACAAAGCACCAACAAAATAAAGTCCCCAACATATACGTGAACTCGCTGCACCCTCCTCAGAACTTTAGGCATATCCAGTGTTTCCCTCTGCTGAGTCAAAGCAGTCTACCACTCTTTTTCAGATTTTTGCTTCTCTGCACTGTAGATGTCAGTGTGGTCTAAAGTGGGCAGGCTCCTGTGTCTTCATTCTTGTGCCACTCACCCTCTGATTAAAATAGCCCGACACTCTCTTACCAGTTTAGCTAACACAAAACAGGAAAATTTGACAGCCAGTGTGATATAGTGGCAAGAGTACTGGACTGGGATTTGTGAGATACAAATTTACATCTCCACTGAGCTACGAACCTCACTGGTGCCCTTGGGCCAGTTATTTAGGCCACATCCAGATCTCTGAGGGGAATTAGGAAGCTACAATACATATAACAATTAATTTTTCCATATCTCCTGCTCATTCTCTTTTTGGGCTTTATAGCTCTTTTTATTTATTTATTTATTTATT